ATGAGCAGCTCACTGTTGTGAGCCTATAACACTTGTTCCAGAGTATGTAATGCCCTTTTCTGGTTGCCACTGGCACCTTGTATGCATGTATACACACACACACACACACACACACACACACACACACACACACACACACACACAAAGAAAATCTTAAGAAAGGAATAAATAGAGAAGAAAATTGTGTGAAATTATGTAATGTCTCTGACCTTCACAATCCCATCTATGTAGTTAGGTAGAGAAGTGGACAAGATAATCTTCAGAAACCTAAGTGTTTATGATCGTCTGTCTCTGAGGTGGTTTGAATAGGTATGACCCTCATATATTCATGTGTTTGAATTCTTAGCCCATATGGAGTGACACTGTTAGGAGGTGTGACCTCGTTGGAGTAGGTGTGGCCTTGCTGGGGGAAGTGTGTCACTGTGGGGGTGGGTTTTGAAGTCTCAGTCAGTTCTCTTCCTGCTACCTGCAGATCAAGATGTAGAACTCTCAGCTCTTTCTCCAGTACCGTGTCTGTGTGAATGCCACCATGTTTCCTTTCATGATGATATTGGACTAAACCCCTGAAACTATAAGCCAGTCCCAATTCAATGTTTCCTTTATAAGAGTCGCTATGATTGTGGTGTCTCTTCACAGCAATAATACCTAAAGACAGAAGCCTGTGCCAGGGACTTGGGTATTGCTGTGATAGGCCTGACCATGCTTTTGTTTGGAGGAATGTGGACTTGGAAGTTTGGATTAGAAAAGTTGTTCAACCCTTCAAATGGTGACTAATGGGTCATCCTAGTAGGAACACGAAAGACAGTGGTGCTGAGAGTGACTTGAACCATGGGGACCTGGGGATCTGACTCAAGAAGTTTCAGAAGAGAAGAATATTAGTGTGTAGCCTAGAGACTATTCTTGTGATATTTTGGTGAAGAATGTGGTGGCTTTAAGCCCTTGTCTGAAAAAAAATCTGCCAGAGGCTAAATCAAAGAGTTTTGGATTAATTCAGTTGGCAGAGGAAATTTCAAAACAGTATAATATTGACTTTGTCATGTGGTTATTAGTGCTCACGCTTACACAGATTCATAAAGAAAAGGAGCAAGCTGAGTTAGGAGAAATACAAAAGGCACAGTTCAAGGAGAAAGAGGGCACTGGGAAGTGGAATGGAGCTAAATCTTGTGTTCTCAGACATAAGGAGATTAAAGAAAAGCCTGCTGTTAAAAAGGAATAAAGGAAATGGTGACCTCAGGACAAGATCCAACTTGTGAAAAAGAATTAAAGAAAAGCTCAGAGCCAGGTGTGGTGGTACATGCCTTTAATTCCAGCTCTTCAGAGGCAGAGGCAGGCAGATCTGAGTTCAAGGCTAGCCTGGTCTACAGAGAGAGTTCTAGGACAGCCAAGATTAGGCAGTGATGGAAACCATCTAAAACAGAAAGTTAATGAAGATGTAATTGAATGAGGAAGCCATGCTCCAGCTCCAGCAATCATCAGAACTTGGCAGCTTTGGCCATATGGTTCTGGCTTTAGAGTCAAGGGGTTCTGGAATCTCCCTCTGCAATGAGGGGAAATTGTTAAGGTCAGGCATGTGTCAGGGATGTCCCTACATAGAGGCCTAAGGAGGCCATTGTGTGAAGCTGTGAAGGTGAAGCCTGGATTGCCTTGGATAATCCAAAATGCCAGAGCTGTTGGATACCTGCTTGGCAGAGCTAAGGGAGTGGAACCAGCCCTAGAGAAAGAAGTGTGTTGCAGTCAACAAAGCAGAAAGGAGTTGGAGATCTGAAGAGCGTTTTGACATCAGACATGGAGATGCAGAGTTTGGAGTTTGCCCAGCTGGTTTCTAGTCTTGCTTTGGTCCAGTATTTGCTCACTGTGCTTCCTTTTGGAACTGTAATGTATGTCCTGTGCAACTGTATGTTAGAAGGATGTGACCTGCTTTTTCATTTTGATTTTACAGGGGATTAAAGTTAAGAGAATGCATGAATCTCAGAAGAGACTTTGAACTTTGGACTTTTAAACAAGTTTGAGACTGTTTCAGGCTGTGGGGACTTTTGAGGTTGGATTGAATGCATTTCTGCATTCTTTATGGCTACCAACCTACGGGAGCCTGTAGTTGTTATTTACTCTTCACTCTTTCGGGGGGCCTGCCACCCAGCTCCCAAATAATTCACATGAGGACTTACTCTTTCTTATGAATGCCCGGCCTTAGCTTGGCTTCTTTCTAACCAGCTTTTCTTAATTTAAATTATCCATCTACCCTTTGCCTCTGGACTTCTTCCTTTTCTTACTTCTGTGTATCTTACTTTCACTCTGACTCCATGGCTGGCTGTGTGGCTGGGTGGCTGGTTCCTTCTTTTCTCATTCCTTGATCTCTCTTACTTCCTCTTCCCTCTTTTTCTCCTACTTATTTTCTCTGCCTGCCAGCCTCACCTACCCTTTTTCCTGTCTTGCTATCAACTCTTCAAATCAAATCAGCTCTTTATTAGACCAATCATGTATTTTAGACAGAGAAAGTAACACACCGCTTCACAGAATTAAACAAATGCAACATAAAAGAATGCAACACAGTTGGGTGGTGGTGGTGCATGCCTTTAATCCCAGCACTCGGGAGGCAGAGGCAGGTGGATCTTTATGTGTTCGAGGCCAGCCTGGTTTACAAGAGCTAGTTCCAGGACAGGCTCCAAAGCTTCTGAGAAACCTTGTCTCAAATAACTAAAAAATAAATAAATAAATTGAAGTTATGCTATTCAGCAAAAAGAAATAAAAAGACTGCAGCACATCTTTGCATCATTAAACAAATGTCCCACAAGCATAAATTAATGTAACACATCTTATTCCACAATGCAGCCAGGGTGGGAAATATGGCGTTTGAATGCTTGGCCCATAGGGAGTTACACTATTAGGGGTGGCTTTGTTGGAGAAGATGAGACCTTGTTGGAGGAAGTGTGTTACTATAGGAACAAGCTTTGAAATCTCATATGCTCAAGCTACACCCAATGTGGCACACACTCTCCTGCTGCCTATAGATCAAGATAGAGAACTCTCAGCTCCTTCTCCAGCACCATGTCTGCCTAAACACCACCATGTGCTGCCATGATGATAATGAACCTCTGAACTGTAAGACAGCCTCAGTTAAACGTGTTCCTTTATAAGAGTTGCCATGGTCAAGGTGTCTCTTCACAGCAATAGAAACCCTAACAAGGCAGGTGTGGTGTTATAGCACACACGCTTAATCCCAGCACTCAGGAGGCAAGGGCAGACAGTCCTCTGTGAGTTTGAGGATAGCCTGGTCTACACAGTGAGTTTCAAGCCAACCAGCATACATGGAGAGACCCTGCCCCCACCCACCTCAAAACAAAAATAGGCTTAAATTCCAATCCATTATCCTACAGGGTTAGAGGATAGAGGTCTGACTGAGACAGCAGCAAGCCAAAAGCCAGGTGTTGGCACAGCCACGTCCCTTTTGGGGCTGGAGAGGAGGATCCAATTCTGCTTTTTTTCTGGTTCCTAGAGATCCCAGCACCCACTGCCCGTGGCCTCTTCCTCTATCTTCAAAGCTAGAGATGCTCTCATAGCTCACAGTGTCCTGGGACACAGGAACTCTCATTTCCTCTTCCACCTTTATGGGCCTGCCCATCACACCCGGGCCACCTGGAGAGTCAGGATGCGCGTCCACATCAGATTTGCTTCAAGGTCAGAGTGCTGATCCTACCTGCGCTTGAATTCTATTTTGCCATTGAACCAAAGTCTTCATAGATTCTGGGATGACACAGAGCCCTCTGCACCTGGGAAGTTACTCAGTCAATCACAAGACTCCACTCATTAAATGGAAATGTAAAGACTAAATAAAACATAGCTTAATGTCTTTATGACAGCTCAAAATTATCATACAGTTGTTCAAATCCATAGAATTTATTTTCTTTTATTTAAATAAATGACATAAGCTGGCCAGACTCAACAGTTTCCCCACAAAAAGTAAAGACATAAAGAAACTGTACAATATTACAAACAAGTGGCTGTTTATATATATCCAAACGCATTTATTTGTGTGTATATGTAAACATACATGTACATAAATGCACACGGTATTTATTTTAGTTTAATATTTTGTTTTTATATCCCACCAAAGCTTCCCCTCCTTCCTCTCATCTCAGTCCCCCCTCCTTTCCCTCTTGCCCTCCATCTACTCTTCCTCCTCGGTTTCTCTTCAGATGGAGGCAGGCCTCCCATGGATGTCCGGCAGCCATTGTATATCAAGCTGCAGTAGGCACCTCCTCTTCTATTAAGACTGGATGAGGCAACCAGTAGAAGGAAAGGATCCCAAAAGCAGGCCATAGAATCAGAGACAGCCCCTGCTCCCACTGTTAGGAGTCCCATATGTTTGAGTAAAATGCCACTGTTCCCTGAGGGGCGCAGCGGCAGAAATGCTGCAGGTCCCCCAATGGCGGCAGTGGGCAGCAGGCCATGAGACCACATGGCAGGTGAGAGACAGAGACAGAAAGGCACGCTATGCCATGCAGAGTAAGGTTGGATATTTATTTAGTGGGTTATGGAAGGGAAAGGGGAGAAGGGGAAAGAGCAGAGAGGGAGGGAGGGAGGAGAGAGAGAGAGAGAGAGAGAGAGAGAGAGAGAGAGAGAGAGAGAGAGAATATGGGGGTAGAGGAGCCATGGCAGCAGCTACCTCTTTGGGAGAAAGACAGAAAGGAAAGAGGTCAGGCCAGAAGCAGAAGGAAGCTCTGCCTGCCTTGGTGGTGGAGGTGGGGGGGGGGAAGTGTGGTGCTTGTCTCTTAAAGGGACAGGACAGACCATTATATCATAAGAGGACCAAGTTGCACATTTGTAACATTTATGCAGAGTGCCTAGGTCAGTCCCATGTAGACTTCCTGGTTGTCAGCTCACTCTCTGTGAGCTCCCATGAGGCTCACAGTTGGTTCTGTGGGTTTTCTTGCACACACAATGTTTTAACATTAATCAGGTGGTTCTAGAAAATGAGTAAGCAACAAAGAGTCCCAGGAAGGTAATGCTTATAAAACATGTTTATTTGTGATCGTCCCGAAACCCCAGAGAGGTCCCTCTTGATAAAGAACACAAAGGTCAGAGATGAAAAGTTCCTGGAGCTGAAGTCAGCCATTTCCCTTCCTTTTTGTCCACATGAAGTCTCTCTATGTCTTAAAGGCACATCATGGTGTGAACCCAGCAGATCTCTTCCAACCTGCCAAACCCCAAATATGTGCTGCAGTGGAGGAAATCAGTGGCTCTCTCCACCCAGTGTTCCCGTAGGTCTTAATGCCCTCCTTGGCTAAAACGGTACCGTGGGCTTTTCAGAAAAATTTCTCTTGCAAGTATGACCGCTGTCACTGAGAAAAGCCAATGTTCAGTCCATTGGAGACTTAAAAGACGGGAATGTGGTACTGGCGGTCATTCTCGGTCAGCAGGGAGATCTCTGGCCACTCCCTGATAGGCTCCTCAGGGTAGCAGACTGTGAAGTCTCTGGAGTTAAACTTGAACAGTCGGAACACTTTTATCTTTACTTGGAGGGAATACCCGAGTATAAACATGTCAATCTGGGGACAAGATGAGAGCAAGGTCACAGATTGTGTTTATACACTTCCACCACGACAAGGCCGGATGTGGTTTATGAGACGATCCACTTTGTAACAGAGTTACCCATAGAGCAAGTGGGCATGACTCAGGGACAAATGCCCACAGTGTGGAAGGAGGACGGGACCATGCCCAGCGAGAGGAAATCGGGGAAACGGTTCAGAAACAGAAAGGAAAACCCGAGCCACGGTAGTGACTCACAGCTTCAATGCCAGCACTCTGGGGGTGGAGCAGAAGGACTGTCAGAAGCTGGAGGCCAGTCGAGGCTCCACAGTGAGCTCCAGACCAGCCTGGGCTACAGAGTGAGACCTTACCTCACAGGGGAAAAGAAAAGGTAAGGAAAGGAGGGGAGGGGTAGGGGGAAAGGAAGTGAATAGGAAAAGGAGAAAAGGGAGGGGAAGGGAAGGGAAGGGAGAGGAGGGGAAGGGCAAAGAGGGGAGGGGAAGGGGGAAAGGAAGTGAATAGGAAAAGAAAAAAGGGAGGGAAAGGGAGGGGAGGGAGAAGGGGGGGAGTGGGAAAGAAAGTGAATAGGAAAATGAGAATGGAAAAGAAAAAAGAAAAGGGAGAGGAAGGGCAGGGAGGGGAGAAAAGGGGAGGGGAGGGGAGGGTGCTTGTTATTAAGAACCGCATTGCTTTCTAACCTATTTGATGTCTTAGTGAAGATGTATGTCATGCATCTAATCATTTCTTTGAGACAGAAAACAAGTGAACAAAAGACCTCAGTCATGGTGAGGGGCTTTCTCTGACCTTACAGTTGCTACTAACTCTTGTCTATGACAGGGAACCGAATGCTCCCCCATGATGATCGGGCTTTCTGAGTGGCCTTTTCTCAGTTAGTGTCTGTGTGGTCACGAGGCTCTATGAATCAGCCCTCTCTGGTCCAAGGGGTCCCCGGACTCACAGGACGCACCAGCCAGCAACGAGGCCCGTGATTCTTCTTTCACACATGTGAAGCCAATAACCCCAGCCGGTCACCTCTGTGGAGGTGGTTTCCTTACCGCTAAACAGAAACCCTAAAGGCCCACGAGGATTCCCGAGTCATCCGTGGATCACACACTGTGAGCCCCACTCACCTGCTCCAGTCCACAGGTGTCCCCCATGGGATTCAGGTGATTCATCATGAAGCTCAAAGGGTCTGAGGAGGACTCCCTGGAAAACAGGAGTCGGAAAAGGCCAGGGATTATCTTGTTCATCTTCATTTGCTCGTACACTTCCGTGACCTGGTAGAGCATGATGAACTTCACAGCCTCGTAGAGTTTATACTCCAGGATGGCGTCGGAGAAGAGGATGTTGCACATGTTCCCTCTCTTGTGATAATCTCTCATCCCACTAAACTCGGTCCACTGCAGACACAGGGGAAGTGGGAGCTGAGAAGGGCAAATATGGACATACAAACCACCACACAATTTGTAAAGTACTAATGAGATAAGCCAGAGAGGAGGGCAGGAGGGTGGCAGAGGAAGGCAGAATTTTACATTCTCATGTCTGTCTTTTGGGACTATTTGATTCTTTTTAACCATAAGGATGCTGCAGTGGGCTGAACTCTCCAAACTCATGCGTTGAATGTCTTAGCCCAGGGAGATAGCCTTAGGAGATGAGGCCCTTGCGTGGTGATTACCCTCTGCGGGTTAGAGCCCTCATGATTGGGACTGGTGTGTCTTTAAGAGGAAGCCAAGCCATTTCTGGCTCTCCTTCTGCTATGTGATGGCCAAACAAAACAAGCATGAACAAAACACTACCCACCTGTCTATGAATTAGAAAGAGAGCTGTTACCAAATGTCACTTCTTGCTAACCTCCTGGCTGTAGACTTTCAATCTTCATAATTGCAAGAAATAATCATTGGTTGTTTAAGCCCTCGGTTTATGGCGTAAGAGAAGCCTGAGCTACCAGACTAACACACAAGCACCTTACTTTTATAATAAACAAAATAAAATTGCCATTCTCAAAACATAGCACTACTAGGTAAACCATCAAACACGTCGGTTTTCTAAAAGTGCTTGGGGTCAGAGGGTCGCCCGGAGACCATGCCAGTGAAGAACAGCCCGAGAAACTGCCTAAGATCACTCTGCAAAGCACTTCGGAGGTTCAACTCGCACCCTCACAATTATCATGCAGGGGTAAACCATTCACAGCTCTTCAGAGACAACAAAGCTGTGACTCGGAAAGCCATTTTGCACCCATAAGCCAGCCAACAGGAGATAACCCCCCCACACATTCCAGTAACCAAAATCTGTGCAATTATTAAGTCAGGCAGAGCTTTTGGTCTACTTATTGCATCCGCGCTATACCTGTGTGAGCAGGATGCTTGCAGAAGGGCATCTCTGAGGTCTAGACTTTGTACAAACAAGTCCCTTCGTGTGTCTGGTCTCCAGTGCGGCCCCTGAAGTTTCTACCCCTCAATAGGCCAAGCCATCATGACTTATAACACTAACGCTGGCTTACTACTCAGCAAGGGAAAGCAAGGTGCCACCGCCAGCAGGAAGCCTCCTGCGCTCAGTTTCGCTCCCCTTCCTCACAGGCTCCACATGACAGGAGCCTGGCTTGCCTTTGGGATGGATGCTTCCATCTCCAGCCATTTATCTTTTAACTTTCCCTACATACTCACCTGCACTTTCAGTAACTCCACGCATTTCCGTAACTTTCCAAACACATTGGAACCTGTATACTTCTCAGGTCCAAAACTGTACTGCTGGATCCAGTTACAGCCTTGAGAAAAGAGTAGCTTCTCAGGAAGCTTGAAAAGGAAGTAGATGCCAACAGTGATTAGTGTCTGAGCGCTCAGCACGCGCCACCTGGGACGCGGCAGCGCACAATCTTATCTCCTGCAGCCGTCCTCGGAAAGACTACCACGTCAGTTAACTGAGGAGCAACGGTCATCTTTGCTTTAGATGTGTGGATTATGTCATGTCTGTATTTTATATATATATAAACTCAATCTAGGGCTTTGCCCAAAAAAAAAATGTTTCTTTGTGACATTGATGTAACCCGTTAGAAGCCACTCGGAGTTAGAAAAGCAGGGCACACCAATTAGCGAGTGGGCTCCACAGTGGTACAGTACACTTCCCAACCTGGCTGTACCTCATCAGCTGAGAACAGGTTTAGTCCGCATTTCCTACCTCTTGACCCTTTGCCCCATCTTCCACTATCCAAACAACAATGCCACCCATCTCACAGAGCTCTGGACTACATTCTGGGAGACTTAGAGGTGAAACTATGGTGTCTATGAGAACCTATTCCACTGTGGGTAGTGAATACCGAATCCCACAAACTTGGGAGTTGAACATAGGATTTCTGTCACATTCTTTAATTAACTAGAAGCAGGGTTACCATACAACATTTATTTGACAAGTATTTGATATGAAACAGAAGGACTGAAAACAATTTTAAATAAAAGTCAGCAAGGAGACTGAACACATGGGACCATATATATATATGCACACACACACACACACATATATATATATATAAATATATATATATGTATATATGTGTGATATTTTGTATTTCTTACCCCACCATCCTAAATTGGGCATACTGCATCTAAAACAAGAATTCACATTGTTCATCAAGTACATATGTCTGGGACTGAAGAGATGTCTCAGCAGTTAAGGGTACCTGCTGCTTTTCCAGAGGACCTGGCTTCAGTTCCCAGCACCTACATGGTGGCTTACAACTGTCTGTAACTCCAGTTCCATGGGACCCACTGCCCTTTTCTGGTCTGCTGTGCACTGCAGTCACATGGTGCACTGATATACATGCAGGCAAGATACCCATATACATAAGATAAATAAAAAGAATATACTGCCATAAATTATTAAGAAAATGATAAAATAAATGTAGACTGGAAGAAAACATCTGCAAATTGCATATCCAAAAAAGCACTTGTATTCCAAATATACAAAGGATTTTCAAGACATAAGAAAACACAATCCAATAAAAATGGACAAAAGACTTTAAGTAGATAATTTTCCAAGAAGATGAGAGAGATTGCAAATACATACATGAAAAGATACTCAACATCTGCTCATTAAAAGCAAATGAGGGCTGACGGGATGGCTCAGTGGGTGATGGATCTTGTTATGTGAGTCTGACGACCAGGGTTCAATCTCTGGAACCCATGTAGAGGTAGAAGAAGAGAACCATCTTCACAGAATTGTTCTCTGACTTCCACAGGCGCTATGACAAGTGCCATTCTACACACACATACACACACACACACACACACACACACACAAATGAGTAAGAAGAAACAAAACATACCTAGTAGAACGGCTAAAAACAAACAGACCCAACAATAATAAGTCCTAGTGACCATGTCGGGTGACCATAACTCTTGCACTATACTGGTGGGAATACAAAAACACCAAGGAGGTTTGGAGAGCAATGTGGCAGTTTCTCTGAAAGTTAAGCACACACCTCCCAAAACACCAGGAATTTAACTCCTGGTCATTTGCCTAAAAGAAACAGATACTACACCTATAAAGTCTCATAGAAGGCTATTCCTAACAGTAATTTTCTAAGCTAAGGACTGGAAACAATCCAGATGCCCTTGAACTGTGGGTAAAGTGTGTTCTAGTCATATAAAGGACAATCTTGTCAGAGCAAAAAACCTTCTCAGTTGCTGGGATAGCAGGGAGGAGATGTAAATGCTCACTGCTAGCAGACGGCAGGCAGGCAGATAGCTGAGTAGAAGATTCTGTTCACATGACACTGGAGGCAGCAAACATAGGGGCAGAAAGCAGATTAAAGATTGTGCAGACCAGAGGTCTGGGGACAGCTGACTACAGAGGTATGTAGAGAACCTTGGGGTGGTGACTACATTCCACATGCGTTTGTTAATAAACATTTATGTGATAGTGAAAAGGGCTCGCATTATCAGACCTCCTTAACTATGAAGGACGGGTGCTTCTTGAGAAAAGCTGAGAGCATTAAAAACTAACAAAGCAGAGACGGCTTATCTGCAAAGACACGGAGGGGACCAGCCAAACAACCCATCAACGCTCCTTCAACATGAGAATCCTGAACACAAAGCTACCCGGCCAGGACCGGGAGCCCCCACACACCCATGTTCCCAGTGGGGCATCGTACCTTCACGATGTCTTTTTCTTTCATCCATGATGGGAAAGACAGACCCTGGCTGAAGATCTGGAACAGCACGGACCTGAGAGCATCGTAGTTATCTCTCTTCACTGGCCGAACACATTTAATATGGTGCCTCCAGAACAGCTCCTCATAAGCCTGTCAGGAGGCAAGCGCGGTCCGAATGAACTCCGCCGCATCAGACGCCAGTGGGAGCTCTGTGAACACAGACTTCAGGGCTCACGCTGGAAGTGAAGTCTCAGTGAACACGTCGAGTGAGCGTGTTTCCACAGGGGGATGGTTCCCAAATAACTTGAGTAAGTGGACTATGGATAGACGATAACTGTATATGTAGTTTTATTCTTTAAAATGTTTTAGAACAAGTTTTTGAAGATTTTTTTTTAAATGATGGGTATGTGTGTGTGAGTGTGTGTGTGTGTCTGTCTGTGTGTCTGTGTGTGGAGAGGGAGGGTCTTTACATGAGTGCAGGTACCCACGGAAGCCCACAGCAGGTGTAGGATTCCCTGGAGCTGGAGTTACAGGTGGGTAATTGTCAACCTCTTGATAAAGATGCTGGGAGCTGAACTCAGGTCCTATGCACGAACCGCAAACACTCGTAACAGCTGAGCCATGTCTCTAGCCCCTTATTTTAACTTTATTGCTGTAATCATCATCATCATCACCATTTTGTATGTGTACGCACACGTGTGTGTAGGCTGCACATGCTAGTGCATATCTGGAAGCCAGAGCATGGTTCTCCTGACCCCAGCAGCAGACTGACAGCAAGTGCTTTTACCCTGAGTCACTTAAGTGTGGCCCTATGTATGGGACTTTAAAGTGGCTCTTATGTGTGGAGTCTGCCTCATGCTGGTTTAGATGACTCAACTTGGAAGACCAGGTTATTTGGGGCTGATAATGAGCACAATTTAACCACAGCGAAAATGGTTAGAGTTTTAAGGCCACACTAAAGAGTACTTTGGACCTCTCCCTCCTTGTCCCCCCCACCAAAGATAGGAGTGGACAACACTGTTGGGGATATTTACATTTACCCAGATCATTCCAATGGAACATCCTAAATCTCCTCGAAGTACTTACACAGGGTGTCTGATTCCCCCTCAGTGAGGAGTCCCCACTGCACGTGCAGAAGTTAAAAGGCCAGAGATCCGAAGACTCATCTTTTCTCAAGTTACAGACTTAATAGATTCCTATTCTCAGCACTATAAACTCTAGGCTGAAGCCTGTCCTCCTAGCTCACCTCTCAGCTTGACTCAACAGCCTAGAGCCTTCTGGGGAGGGGAAACCCACTTGAGGGGATTGTGGCCACGTCGTGAGATACATAGTCTTGATTGACTACTGACATAGAAGGACCTAGCCCACGGTGGACAGCACCATCCCTAGGCAGGTAAGCTTGGACCAGATGCTGAGAGCAAGCCAGTAAGGAAGTAGGGTTCCTCCATGGGTTTTGCTCCAGGTCCTGCTCCGACTTCCCTCAACGAGGAACTGTGACCTTGAAGTCAAATAAACCCTTCCCTCCCCCAAACTGCTTTAGGTCAGACTGTGTTATCAGTAGCAGAAAAGCAAGGTAGAACAAGATCTAAAGCCAGCATCTAGCAGCTGCTTGGCTCCGAACTTAGGTTGCAGCTTTAATTGACATCCCATTTGGTGCTGGTGGATCCTTGGGTTTGGCAAAGCTGAACTGAATGTGCCTGGATGCTGACAGACACTGCCTGCCTACACTGCCACAAGCAGCCATACCGTACCTTCCGCATCAGTTTGGCACGCGGCGTTTCTCCTTTCCACTCTCTTGCGCAATAGCTGAGTAAATCTACTTCTGCCTCCACACTGAGGTTTCCTGGGCAAAACAGAAAATACAAGGCAGCTGAAACTGCCCACTCTCCCTTCTCCTTTCCCCCGCCTCCTCTGCCCTCAAAAAGAAGGAAATGTATGCATTAAGGTATTTACTTTTGAATTTTCTCTGCAGATAGCCAATCCACCTGAAAGAAAAAGGAAACAATTACATATAAAAACTTTCTGTAGGGCAAGGGTGTCTTTGAAAAGCCAAGATGACAGGATGACCTACCACTTCAGCCGGTGCCCTAGATGTAAATGCAGCCTTCTGAAGTAGCAGAGGGAAGCAGACAGAAGCGACACCACCACCGTCACAGCGACCCCTGCTGCCCTCCAGGCAGTGCTAATGACTTGGCTTGTAACCAGTATCCAGGAGTGAACTTGGTCACTTCCTGCAAAACAAACAGACATGCCTAACACAGTTACACATTTGCTTTAAGGGACGTGTGACACATTGGATAATTTTGCCCCCACGTGTCTATCATCGATTTATATGCATTTTTGTGTATGTACGTAGACGTGCAGGTATGTGTGAACACAGATGCATGACTATATGAGGTATAGCTGTGTGTGTGTGTGAGTGTGTCTGTGTGTGTGTGTGTGAGTGTGTGTGTGTCTGTGTGTGTGTGTGAATGTGTGTGTGAGTGTGTGTGTCTGTGTGTGTGTGAGTGTGTGTGTCTGTGTGTGTGTGTGAGTGTGTGTGTGTGTGAGTGTGTGTGTGAGTGTGTGTGTCTGTGTGTGTGTGAGTGTGTGTCTGTGTGTGTGAGTGTGTGTGTCTGTGTGTGTGTCTCTGTGTGTGTGTGAGTGTGTGTGTGTGTCTGTGTGTGTGTGTGAGTGTGTGTGTGTGTGTGTGTAGACAACCACTAGCACCATTCCATAGGTATCATCCACCTTCTGTGAGAGGTGGTCTCTGGCTGACCTTAAGCTCACCTACTAAGCAAGACTGGCCAGCCAGCAAGTCCTATGGATCCACTGGTCTCTGCCTTCTTAATGCTGGGATTACAAGCACACAACATCACAACCAACTGAGAGGCCAAACCGACCCATTGAGATATTTCCTCAGGCCTATATACATGTTTTTAAAGTATTCAAACACTAAATCCAAAATTAAAGCATCATGCAATTTCTCCCACAGTCGGCGTCACATAAAACATCCTTTTTTTTCTACAAAACTAATAATCTGCAATAAACATAGGGAGTATGAGCTTCAGAATCTCGAATTCAAATCCTGTTTCCACAATGGAGACTGTGTGCCTATGACACCCGGCTACCCTGATCTGAGACGTCTTGACTGTACAATGCAAGTGGCCCTGCGGGGAGGGGGTGAAATGACATTCCGAAGCACCAGCACAGGGCGGACACATGCTCATTTCTTGCCAAGGACCTCTTGGATGCACTCCAGGCAGACTCTGGTGACCCGTTACCCATTGCTGTTATAATGCATCACAGGTCGCATCATCATTTGAGTCACACAGGAGTGAGGCAATCAGCAGAAGCACGGGCACCACCTTCCACATTCGCTGCTTCAGATGCTCACCGTGATTCCTGGTCCAACAAGACAAAAAACTAAGGGGTGAGGGGCCGGCGGATGGGCTTGCAGTACCCTGCTGTGTCCAGGAGATTTCCGGTCACATTCTGCTTGAGTGTGTGACAAGCTGAAGTACAAATGAGGAAGAGGACTTCTGAACGGTGGCCAAAACCCCTGGGGTTTGTTTTGAAATAATTTCCTCCACAACAGATCATTGAGTAAAATTCCATTGACCAACTGCAATAAAACCCTCATCGGCATGGAACCTATGATTCCATCATTTTTGGCCATCTGGATATTTCGTGTGTATTTATGTTCCCAATAAAGAAAGAATTTACTAGCACATCAGGAAAAAAAATAGCTAGGAACAAATTTTAAAATATACTTCCCATTACCTAAAAGAACATTTTAAAAATGGCTTATCTATCTAAAGAAGTGATCTGGCAGATCAAATCATTATATTCACTATTTCCCAGAAATTTAGCAAATTGTTGTTTAAAAAGACAAAGCTGGGGTTAGAGAGACGGCTGGCTCAGTGGTTAAGAGTACACCGCTCAGGCCAGGCGGGCGTGGTGGTGCACACCTTTAATCCCAGCACTGGGAGGCAAAGGCGGGCAGATCCCCACGAGTTCAAGGCCAACCTGGTCTACAGAGTGGGTTCCAAGGCAGTAAAAGATACACAGAAAAAACACCTGTCTCAAAAAAACAAAACAATACAAACAAAAAAGAGTACACTGGTCTTCCAGAGGACCCCAGTTCTGAGCATCCCTGAAACCCTAAGTCCAGGGGGTCCAACACTCTCTTCTGGGCACTACTGACTCCTGGACATACATGGCCATCACACATACACATCAATAAAAATAATGGGGCTGTCGAGGTGGCTCAGTGGTTAGGAGAACTTTCCGTTCTGCCAAGGGACCTGAGTTTGCTTCTCTGCACTCACCCTGAGTGGGCTAAGAACCACCTGTAACTTCAGTTTCAAGGACTCGGATGCCTTCCTCTGGCCTCTGTGCACACCTGCACACAAGGCATTTACTCACGCAGACACACATACATATACCCATGTAAAATAACAAAATAAATCTTAACAACTTAAAAGTCCTAAAAAAGTCTTTTTAATAGAAAGCTATCCCATGTTTAACATTTATAATTTTAGATTATTACTAAGTTAGATAGTTTTCTCCACTGATAATTCTGACACTCACTTTTAGTAAACTCTTGAATTTGCAGGACAGTATTATCTATGAATAGATAACATGTGGTAGCTGTAAAAATATTTTTAGAAAAAACAGAACACCACATATGACTTGTATGTAGAGACCGACTCCTTTCTTCCTTCTGCCAACATTAGGGGCTGAAGCCAGCGTCTTGAGCATATTTCCCACCCAGCCCTGAGAACACTCTTTGTAATGAATGCCCAGGTCCTTGGCATCGCTGGTCCTGTGTGCTTTGCCTACCGACAAACATTTGAACAGTTCTGCACTCTTTGCAAACAATGCCTTGGCAAGCAGTCAGCATTCATTACTCACATCCCCTGAGGAGTCCTGGCGGCTTGTCTTTAAGGATAATTCGAAGAAGAAGAAATGCTGGGTCAAGGGATTTGCACACCGTCAGTTCTGACAGGTGCTGGCTTCCAAAAGAGGTTCGTGAGCACCCTCCCGCCACCCTGAGAGGACCCAACGCTGCGAGGAGTGCCCGATGGAGGGTGTGTTTCTGAACTAATCCAGACAACGAGTTTCGTCAGAATGCACAGGTCAGTCACATTTCTTTCCGATGGCGGGACTTTGTACAGGATCTGACATCACTCTGACTGCTACTCATGTGTGTGTGTGTGTTAGGGGTCAGTGGAGGGCTTACAGTCACTGCAGTGAGGACCGGGTACTGTCCTCCACACTGTGCATCTCTCAGAGGCTATCTGAGGGACCACCCAGCCCCTTGGGGGCATCTCTCCTCAGAAGAAGGCCTTTCTGACAGCCCACTGAAGATAACTGTTCTGTGTTTGTTCATACCTTTTCTGTCTCAGGCTCTCTCTCTCTCCCTCTCCTTATCTCCTCCTCCCTACATCTCTTCCTCTCTCCTGTCTCTCTCTCCCTTGCCCCGCCCCAGCCTTCTGCCCATATCCTCAAAATGATCCCGACAAGAAGGCAGTTTTCTGAGCACCTTACCAGGAAACAACCTGGACCACAGGCCTGTACTCCAGGTCTCCCTCGGGTTTACCATGACAGTTCCACACAGGAACATACTGTGCTCCTATAGTATCTATTTTCTCCTGTCCCCCCCCTCCTCCCCCCCTCCCTCCCCTAACAGTCCTCTCTTTCAGATCATCTTTTGTTTTTTTAACTTTCTCTATATATGACAAAAAACACACAATACTTTTCTGTTTCTGGGTCTTAGCGTGAAGATCGTCGGTTTCATCTATTTAGCTGAAAATAATACGGATCCATTCTTAACATTCCAATATATAAATTCATTGATCAGCTGACCCCATATCTTAGGTGCTCATATTTTTTTTTTGGTTAAGTAACTCAAGCAAAGAAGGGTAAAGGAGCATAATCATGGGGTTCTGGTGTGGGTAGTTGGGAGCCATCCAGAGGTGGGTAGGATGGAACTCTGCAGGATGACGGCATGTATGAGGCTGACAAGGCTGTACAGCCATGTAAGGATCCACACAAGCTGCTCTCTGACCATGTTTTTAGGAGCAGCGCTTCTAAGTCAAAAGAGTAGGAAGAACTGTGTCTCGTTACATCCAAGTGGCTACGGCGTTATGCATGGATCACCCCTTCTTGCCTCTGAGCCCCGCAGTGCCACAGAGCAGCCCCAATTCCCCATGGGTTTCTCCTCCCACCTCCATCTCTAAGTCAGGAAAGAAGAGAGAATAGAACGGGTCCTGGTACGCAGCCCATGTTTTGCACACGTCTGTGCATTTCACCATCCCAAGACAAGGCACAGACCTGCTGGAGGGCGTGAGGGAAACGTCAGAGAAGGGCTGGCCACCGTATCATTTACACTAAGCACACAACAAACACTGCCGCTGTTTTCATTGTGGCTGCTCTAACCACCTTTGCTTTGTAGATTAGAGAACTGTTGGGACAAAAAGATTAAGCAGCCACCTAATGGGAGTTGCCCAGGACACGGCAGAGCCAGTAATCAAAGGCAGCGGCCATGCAGTTCTGGAAGCCGCCTGCCGGAACTCTTGGCTGTCCTCCTATCTGTGACCGTGAAGCTGAACGCAGTTTCAAATCAGCATGGGTAGTCAGTACAATTACGGCTGTAGGGGAGAGCACTGTACATCCTTTTCTCAGAGCTGGAGAGATGGCCCGGTGGGTAAGGAGCACTGGCTGTGCATGCCTGAGAACCTGAGTTGGAATTCCCAGGAGCCACATAAGGACCAGGCACGGCCACATGTGCCTGTAACCCCAGCATTGACAAAGCCAGGCGGATACCGGTAGCTTACCTGCTAGCCTGCCTAGCCAAAATAGTGAGCTACAGATTCAGTGAGAGACCTTATCTCAAGAGGATAAAGCAATGATCTACACAGGACACCTGACAGCCTGCTTTGGCTTATGCACATGTCACACACACACACACACACACACACACACACCTTTCTCTTGTGTTAGGGCCAATAAATATGTTAAACTCAAAAAAGACAGAAGAATAAAACAGCGTAACAAGACTGTCAATCAGTATGAGGACAAGTCTGATGAACTACTGCTGAGTCAGACAGCATCTCTCCAAACACAGCCGAGAGAGGGTCACACCTCAGAATTAAGAAGTTTCAGAGGGCTCCTCTTCCCACCAAAGACAATTCTGTACTCACCACCAACTTCTATCCCCTGCCTCAGAGAGGGGTCCTGCTGGGTC